GGCGTGGTCTTCGGCATTCTGTCACTTTCCTGATGACCAATTACAGAATTCGGCATTACCTCCCATTTTAAGAGTTGGAAAGCAAGCTGAATTCTGATGTCAAAAAAAAAAGACAGCTTTTAAAAGTTTGTAATTTTGGTGCAATTTTTACATAGAAAAAATAAAAGGGAAAGATGTCATTCCACTAAATCAGAAGTGACCACAGAATGTCACAGAAATATTTCTCGTGTCCCCAGACTTTCCAAGGCAGACCTTTTCCTACGGACAACTGTTCATGGTTGTGTTGTATTCCACCATGGTTGGATTAAGCACTCCTCTGCTTTTGGCCATTTTCAGTTGAAGAAATGTAAATTTTTTTTTTAAAAGATTTATTTATTTATTCGTACAGAACTGGGGTACAGGCCAGAGATGCGGAGGGCAAGAGGATTCACCAGAGACAGAGTGGGGAGCAGAACAGGCAGATTGACGAAGTACACTGCTGAGGGGAGCAGCGGGCGGGTCAGGAGAGGTCTGCCACGCCATGCGGGTCACCTCCGGGGCAGGCAGGAATCGAACTCATGTGGAAGCGGCTTTAGTTTCTCAGTGCTGGGCTTCAACCCGCTGCGCCACCAGGGAGGGCCGAAGAAATGTAAATTTAACAAAAGCCAGCTTCCTCTGTTTTCTTGGACTTGTGTTTATCATTCGAGTTATTTAAAAATAATGCATAGGTGACAATAGGGTCTGTCTTTCCCTTCAGTGATTCTACACAAACATTTGCATGAAGGAAATAAAAGCCAAGAAGAATATTGATTGGATTTCACGCTCCAGTTTGCTGTGGGTGGACAAAGAAATTTGCATTTATTGGCACATTTGAACACTTACTTGTTCCTTGGTGAAAGTTGGGAGAGGAGACTAACTGGCTGGGTAGTTTGTTGGTCCTGGCATCTTTGGCACAGTTGAATGAGGCCCTGCAGAGCAGAACAAAGAGTCGCCCCTGGAACCAGGGCTGAGGTGAAAATGGCTTTGCGGACTAAAGAGCTCCAGCCTCAGACAGGCCCCCCCCCCCAGGAGAGCAGATTCTAGAACCAGACTTTCTTTCTTCAAATTACAATGTTGCAACTTCTTAACCTGTGATGGGGGACAAGTTTCCTAATTTGTCTGTGGGTTCCTTCCGTCTACAGTGGGGATATACATAGTAACTGGTTGTGGAGGGTTGCAGTGAGACTTGAATCAGTGCTGGGAGAGCTTCTGACTATGCTGGCACACAGCTGGTGCCAGTTATTGTTAGCAGCATTGTTACTGCTGTAGGCCTCTTCACTTGGTGTCTGTAATTAGCAGCATAGTGTAAGACCTAAGGAGAAAGCCGTGGTGGGTGATTGTCGGTGCTGAACTTGCAGAGCAAGAACTGCAGAATGTCCCGGTGTTTCCCCTGGTCTCTTTTGCTGGGTTTTTGGTGTTGAGGAAGAGGACCTTTGGGGAGCCTGTGCACCTCTTCTCTGCGCTCTACCATCCCGGGGTCACAGTGCTGACCTGGCCCCCTGCCCTGTCCACTCACCTTATACCAGAGAAGCAGCCATGCGCCGCTGACTCTCTCACTGAGAGAGGGGCCACCTGCCTGACCTCCCTCGACAAGCTGCTCCCTCTCCGCTTCCCCACGTGGCCCTCATCTGCCTGGTCCTGGTACTTCCCTCTAACATGCTTTGCCGTCTCACACCCTGTCTGTGAGCAGGGCCTCGGTTTACTCTTCTCTGCCCCCAGCCTGGACTGTGGCACCATCTTCTGACCTGGTCTCCCCTCCAGCGCTGCCTCCTCCTTTCAATCTGAGCAAAGACTTTGGACTCCCAAGCGGGGACAGAAGAGATCTCTGCTTGCTTCCAGTCTGGAGTCTATGGACTGTCTCCAGCAGGGGGCCTGGGAGTGCTGGGAAGTGCACTCTGACCCTGGGTGGCACCGGGACCCCTGGGCTGGAAGAGGAGGGCAGTTGCTTGGGCTGCACGAGCTGTAGTGTCCTGTGTGGCTGAGACTCTCACACCTCTCAATCAGGGTGAGATTATTTAATGTACAAAAGAATTTTTCCCATCAGGAAAGATTCCCCTACAGGTTCCCTTAAATAGTGACTCCTCTAGGCAGGCGAGTGTTTTACAGATCATTAACTACCTGACTGAAAGCCTGCAGGGCAGAGAAACTTAAAACTAAAGTGTTAGGACCCCTGCCAATTACAGATCAATTCAAAATGAAGATAAAGTGTCTCTGGAACTAGAAGTCACTGGGAAAATGTGATTTGATTCAGGGGGCAAAAAATCTGATTTACACACAACTTTTTGGAACACGCCAGTTTAGGTGCTGTTCCACCTGCCTGTCTGTCTTGACCCTAACGCATTCATCTCCCACATCATCACCCCGAGGGCCCAGACTCGGGGTTCCCTCTGTGAGCACTGACTGCGCGGTGACCCAGGAAAGGGCGTTATTGGGCAAGTGTTCTCATGGCCTAGCAGAGCTTAGGCAATCGATGCCGAGATACGGCCCATAATGGATGAACTATACAGTAACAATTTGCAGATAAAAATAATAGAAGTTAAAGTGTACTTTACATGATAAAAGAAAGATGAAAGAGGACGAGAGTCTGTTACATCTGAGATGGCTACAAAAGTCCTGCTTTGTGAAGTAGGCTCTGTTGAAAAGATTGATGCAATGGGGAGTGACCTTGGCTTGGAGCAGGAGCTGGTGATGTATGTATGAGCGTCCCTCTGCTAAATGGACCCAGATTTGTAGCACTAATATACATGGGAGCCCAGAACCAAACTCAGAACGGCAATAAATCAACAGCCACTTCGGGTGTCATTTCTGGTTTATATTCCACTATTGTTCTATCACTTTAATTCATGTCACTATCATCTTTTCATCTGGAACAGTTTTATATAATTTTCCAGTGGAGTTACCTGACAAATCCTATCAAATTAACAAGGTACATTAACAGTATTGACTGTCTACGGCTAACAAAATGTTAAAACTGTGCCTTAGCAGAGATGATCTTTCCCCCCTCTCTTTCTGAGAAAGGAATATGGGGCAGGGTTTATTCCACATAAGATATGCACATTTATTTGGCGCTGCTTGTTTTGGCTCTTGTAAATGTCAAAGTAAGAAGCAGAAGTGAGGGAGGGCAGGAAGCACTGGCTTCTATGTCTTCCCTCTCAGGGCACTGTAGAAATGTCCAGGTCTTTAACAATTAATGACCAGATTGGAGGGAAGAGTGTAACTGGGTAGTCGTAATCTATTTGAAGTGAAATGTAATAAAATCGTCTCCTGATACATCCTCACCCTCCTGAAATCATCCAGACCTGAGAGTCCAGAGTCAATTGCACTGACGACATTCTGCCTAATTGAAATACGGTGTCCCTGAAATATGTCTAATGACAAATTCCCGCAGTCGATTAATAAAAAAATACCAATTGTTCGTCTTTTCCAAAGACCACACAGTGCTGACCGGGCCAAGCCACCGCGTGGCCCCCGCTGAAGGCTGCAGACTGGCCTCTGCCCATCTGCTGTGGAGAATCCATCTTCAGAAATAAAGTAGAGATGAACAGTATGTGGCAGGCCAGCCCCTTCCCTGGAATCTGGAATCTTGTTCATGTTTGTATAGGAATTTTAAATGTGCTCTCACACTGTGGTGGTGGTGGTGGTGTGTGTGTGTGTGTGTGTGTGTGTGTGTGTGTATGGATATATATTGGTTTGGATTTTTAACTGAGCATTGATCTACTGAGCTTTCTCATACCTTATATTGAAAATTTGCTGAGAGTGACCCATAGGATGAAATACACTAGTAACTGATTATCTTCTCTGTTGCAGGATGTACATTTGACTGTTTTAGTTTTTTCTTATATCTCTGCTTCATTTTGCCCTTCTTTTCCCCCTTCCACATTGATCTTGACCTTTTAAATGATGGCCTAAAAATTCATTACTTTTAAGATTCCATCTGGGGCCCACTCTGGAAGGTATGTTGAAGGTTTTTGTCTCACTTCATGAACAGATTCTTCAATTTTCAGCAAAAGAAGAAAAAAATGAGGACCTCGCCTAGACGTGTGTGTGTGTGTGTGTGTGTGTGTGTGTGTGTGTGTGTGAGAGAGAGAGAGAGAGAGAGGCTGAGGGGGTAACCAGAGACCGTGCTGGAATGGGCCAGTTACCCCAGCACACTGTCACCCCCCACCCCCACCCCACCCCCATACCTTTGTTCTCCTAACACCTTTGCTGCAGGCGCTGCACTGTGCCTTATGTTTTCACAGCTCTGAAAGAGCACCCTGCTGGGCCAGCATTTACCACTGCAGGTTCCTGTTCTAAAGTCTTTGTTGCATAAAGCACATGCCTGGTGTTCCTCCTCCCTCAGCGGAGAAGCAGTGACCTCCACAGCCTTGAACTTGGAAGGTTTTATGTAAAGGACCCTTTGATCCTCCTGTGACTTTCTTTAAATATAGCTTGGGTAATTATTTAGTGCCAGAAGTGGAAAGAGTTTTTTTTTTTTTCTGGGTGGTTTTGTGTATAAGACTTTTCCAGATCAGAACCTCTTCCTTGGTGACTTTTCGGTATGGGTAATATTACTGGCTTAGCTCACCCACGTTTCTTAAGAAAAAAAAACAAAAACATGATCATTGATGAAAAAAAAATGTAATCAACCTTAATCTTCTAGTTTATTCATTCCATTATAAAGGTAATATGAGGGCAACAATCAGTGAATTCTATATTCCATCTGTGTTGCAACAGAAAAGCATGTTCCTTAGTGTCTTTTTGTGTCATTTTGGCAGGGCCACCCGCACTCACCCTCCCAGGAAAGCAGACTGTGTGATCTCTACATGCCATTTGGGATCTTCTCCTTCTGTCTTAAGAAGCCCCTCGCACCCCCCAAAGCCTTCAGAAAGAGTTTATGTTCCTCCAGTTTAAGTTTACAAAAAAGGTCAAATGATGACACCGATATCACTTCCACCTTCCACTTCTTCCGACTTCATTTTCCTCCTCCTATCGGCTTACAGGTATCTCCGGAGACAAGGTGGAGATAGACCCCGTAACGAATCAGAAAGCCAGCACTAAGTTTTGGATTAAGCAGAAACCCGTCTCCATCGATTCTGACCTGCTCTGTGCCTGTGACCTTGCTGAAGAAAAAAGCCCCAGTGAGTAGTCCCTTTTATTTATGTCTCCTTTCTCTCTTCCCCCCTTCCGTTCTGTGTGCTGGGTGCCAAGAGAATATATTGCCACCATGTCCTTTTTTCCTTGGGTCTGTTTAATTCATTACCAGAAATTTCTTTTAATCGGGAAGGATTGTAATACGGTGCCTAGAGCCTGACATGGGCCCCAATCGCCTTCAACCTTGATGATAGCAGAGAACCCCAGTACAGCTCCTGACCTAGTAGCCCCAAGGGGGGGGGGCCGCAGAATCCTGCTGGGAACTTGCACTCACCAGAGCCCCTTTTCACTGTGTGCTCTCTTCCTCTCCCCGAGTGGGGAACTTGGCCAGTCAGACCCAGAGCTGCCTGCCTCCTTCCTCACCAGATCCAGGGGCGCTGGGGGATTTCCCGTGGCAGCTGAAGGCTAGATTTAGATATCCATCATGCCAGAAGTGTCAACACCCTCCAGATTATTGGCAGCTGCATGACCCACCGGCTCGTAATTAAACTCCTGCCTGGTCCTGCAGAAGAGATCACTGCCAGCTCGGCACGCCTCTGCTAAATGATCAGAGGAGAGGGTCTGGTTGTATACGCTGGCATATTGCATTTTTGCAGTTAATTCATTCAGTATGGCATTTAGAGTAGTCATTTTAGGACTTCAGTCTCATCAAGGGGCAGAAAGGGCACAGATCACACTGAAATTCCTTCCTGGGAGGAACAGTTTAAACTAGGTAAGGGTCGTTAGTTGCCTGGAGAAGGCTCTCAGCGCTTCTCAAAGTCTGGCGCTTGTCTGCATTGCTTGCAAAGCTTATTTAAAATACAGTCACCAGTAGGTTCTGAATTGGTAATTTGGAGAACAATCTAAGCCTCTACATTTGTTATTCTCTTATCCCAGTGTCCACTAAATTGGAGCATGAGTGTTATGAGCAATGACGTTCTCAAAAGGAGCAGTAAGCAATGTAAAGGCCAGCAAGTCTTTATAATATTGCTCACATTTTCAAGACAGTACTCACAGGGACCTAAAGAACCCAGAGTCCCTAAAGGGGCCGGCTCCATTGTCTCCTTTCAACTCCTGAGCTTCCCACTTGGTGAGAAGGGAGAACTTAGTTGCCTGGGAAAAGTTATCAGTGGTTCTCAAAGAGAATGAGGGGTAAAACCAGGCCCAACCCCACCCCGCTGTTTCTGTCACCTCAGTGAGGCCTGGACGCTGCAAGATGGCGGCCAGAGGAGCTGGGGAGAAAACCATCTGCTGTTCTGAGACCCTTGCCCCACGGCTGCCAGACTCCCTCCACCTTTGGATAAACATCTTCCTAATCCCCTACTCTAGCTTGTCACCCAATAAAGATGTCATTGTTCCAGCCTTTTTCTTCCCAAGAACTCAGGATGATGTGAAAAGTAACATTTTGTAATTTCTCCACGTCTGTAAGAAATGAAAGGCAATCACATGTTGCGTAGAGGGACGCTGGTCTGGAAAGGTTAAGCAAAGACCTGAAAACAGGTTTCAGGTTTCCCTGACACTCACACAGCCTAGCTGCGCCCTGAGCCAGGGCTGTGAGCGGCTCTGAAGGGGAAGGACATCACCCAGCAGCCCCTGGGAGCGAGGAGAGGAGCCGTGTGCATGCACCCTCCAGCTGTCTCAGGTCAGTCAGTCAGGAAGTAATGATTGCACCTCTCTGTGAGTGAGGCCAAGCCCAAGCCTTGGGGTGCAGGGCAGACGTAGGCCCCAGGATTTCACGACTGACAGTCCAGCAAGCCGCCTTTTCTTACTGTCAGACCTGCTGTATCATTTTGTGCTCCGTCACTCTGGCTCCAGAAACCTAGAGATTGTGATACTTTCCTGAAAAAGTCGGTGCACTGCCCCAAGAAGCACTTCCTAAGCCTCTGTCCCCTACCACGGTGCTTTTCAAAGGGTGTCCTGTAGAACCGTGTGTTCTCGGGGACCTAGGAGACGTGTGTGTGCACACACACGCGTGTAAGTGATCCTAACCCCCGACCCTAACCAACAGGAAATCTAACTTTGTTCTTTTCTGTTTGGGAATTCTGTATTTAAAAAAATAAATAAACTTAATTAAAAGGATCTTGCTATTATAAAAACAAAGGTGTGAAGGTCACAGGCTCACAGAGCAACAGCATAGCTTTGCAGACATCGACCACTAGCTGACCGCTCCGAACTCACAGCCCTTCGCATCCCGCCCTGAGCTCGGGCTGGCCCGTGTGACCTGCTTGTGCACACGCAGGCCTTCACTCAGCGCTACTCTTGTCTGCTGGCTGACACCTCCACCCGGCCCGCTCTCCGCTTGTGAGCACACACACTTGCCCACACACAGCCCTCTTGTTTTCCAAGATGCAGGTCCTGTGGCAGACTGCCTCGGTAACTTTGCCCCCAGAATGGGCACTGTTTCCCAGGCCCTGCTGCATTGACGTGTTTGAGATCGGCCCCTTTGTCCCACCCCACCCCACATTCAGTTAGACCCAAGGCCT